TTGAACTTTCCTTACAACCTTATCTTGTGGCTCTACAGTACGTCTCCTACACTCATCTATTAAATGTCCTTTAATTCTACAAAAAGAAGAATATTTATGCTGATTTCTTTTTAAATAACATATTGCTTCTGTATGGCCAGCTCGATTACAAAACGAACATCTCTTTTGAATGACTCTCTGCTCTCTATAACCATTACATACAATTGCCTTATGACCGATTGTGTCGCATTTAAAACACCTAAAGGACTTGTTTCGCTTTGTTCTGTCGGTCTCACTTCTTTTATCATTAACATCATTTTCACTTTTATCATTTGAATTCATAAAATTTGCTAGATATTTAAGTAATGATGTTGTGTCATGACATCCTGCTGACAAAGCTCCAACTTCTAGGAACTTATCTCCAAGGGTACCTATGATAGCTTGCGTGATCACATCATCACTTAGTTGACATGACATGCCAATACCAAGTTTACTGTAGTAAAATTCAATAGCATTTTCTGAAGGTAGCTTAATTCTATTAACAAGCTCTCGAATTTGAGAAAGTTTATTTTTGGTGAATGGAAAAGCATTAATTAACTTTTCCTTCCATTCGCTCTAACAGATTTCATAATTTGGCTGCCTCTCATACCAATTCTTAGCATATCCCTGTAAATTCGTCATGCAATTACAAATCAACGTAGGTTCATCCCAACCATACATTTTGGCGATGGCTTCTAAATTCCTAATCCAGTGTTCTATAGAAATTGTAGTCGTTTGAGGGTTGAATTCAGAGATGCAGTCGTTTCGCCCTAAATAAGGAATAGCTGGCTGAGCCACCCTTGTATTCTCTATAAAGTTTTCTTTATTCTGAGTTTCTCTTCTCCGCATATCTCGCACTAGTTCCTCTAAAGCTTCAATACGATCGTAACTTTTCTTTAATTGTTTTCTATACTTATTTTTCCCATTATTATCTTTTGTAATTCGTGAGCTTGATACAGAACTAGAACTGCTATCATGTCTACGCGATCTCTTATTACGCCCCATATTTGTAATATATATTCCCCCTTTTTTTTATTTCTATAGTATTAAAACTGACAAACAAATTCTAGTCAATATTGTCCTTTTCACTTAATAATCCAAAATAAGAAAATCAGATGTACAACAACTAGTTCACAATTAGTTAAATTAGTTCTGGTTATTCATACACACAAAAAAAAACAAATACTAATAATAAGTCCATCGTCACTATCATCATAGTTCGTGACTTATTTTATCACTTCTCATTGCACAGACACACACCAGACAATTGTTAGCTCACTAAAGTTAATAGTTCAAATTGGAATAAACTCACCGGTGTCCTAGTTCGAGTACAGTTCTTCTTTTAAATTGAGTGGCAGCTGATGTAAGCTACTCGCATATAGACATGTAAAACTTTTAATTAAGAAAATATTTATCATGCATAAGTTTTTCTCGCGATCGAAGTAGATTAGTTATTGCCACCGAAGTTTCCTTAGTTATTCTTGTTGCCAAACTACGACTGTAAACGCACGCGAGCTTAATAATCCCACTTCTGAGGTATTAAAACACAACTTTGACTGAATGATCATATATTTTATAAAACTGTTTTCTTTAACATAAACTTTTCACAACAACATTTGTACTCTATTCCCGCCCGAAATTATCTCTTCGTTTGTCAATGTCAACTTCATTTGTACTTTGATCTCAGCCAAAAGGCCGAGAAGCGATAAATGTCAACTTCAAAGGTGACAGTGACAACCCACTGACAGATAGTGCTTCCACTAATACAATCGATAAAGAGTATCGTAGTCTAACAATATATACTTCTATAAATAACAAACAAACTTCCTAGTCTAGAAGAAAATAGATTCACAATCACAATAGTATAGTAGCTATATAGAGTAGAGATGGGTGATAAAATTAGGTAAGGATTCGCTAAAAGTATTGAAACTTTTTTATTTCATATGAAGGTAAACATTTGAAGGATACATTTGAAGGTTTTCTTTTTGGTTTTTTTCTTTGTCATAAACATTTTACGACTCATTTATAATTGTTGACAGGGCTCGCACTTTACAGCCTGTCGACCTACAGATGGATAAGACATTAGTACGATAGAGAATGTTCTATTTTTTTTATACATGCATGTAGTATGTCTGTTCACTAAATGCATGGCATTTAATAATTAGATATCAGATTCCGATGATTTTTTTAAATTAGTTTTTAACTTGGGGAACAGTATATATCATCAAAATCGACTTTGTTATGTTGAATTATTATATTATAGTTCAAGAAATGAGAAAAACATGTAAGTTGCTCTTTTTCAAATTGACTGCTGCTGGCGTTTTCCCTATTTCTTAGATTTTTTAAAAAGCTTAGTAAATCATTATTTCTTTATGCATTTCTTTTTGGCAGTTCTTATCAGTAGAAGTATTCGATACCTACAGGCATCGATATTTTATGTATCTTTCTAACACTATTTTGATATAACAACTGATGACGTCAAAGGCCAGTAAACAGATTCGTGATTGGTTGTGACGACGACCAATTATATGACGTTTTCGTCGTTGAATTAATTCCTAAAAATATTGCATTTTCTTTACGTTATTTTACTAAATCTAAACATATTTTTTCTGAAGATGTTAAGAAATAAGCTTTATTAGATTATTATCGATCAGGATGACCACAAAATGCAACTTATTTTCGATAGTGTCAAATACCCAATTCAAAAAGTAGTAATTAATGAAGCGAAATCTGCAGGGGCACGAAGTACTATGGCCGTACCTCAGGGATCGGTATTAGGACCATTGCTTTTACTAATTTACATTAATGATCTTCCTCACTTTACGAAGAATTTGTGCGAGACAGTATTATTTGCTGATGACACCTCTTTAGTGTTTAAAGTTAAGAGGGGTATAATGATTGTTTTGACGATGTAAATGATGCGTGTGATAATAATTCAAATAAAACGAAATGCATAAGGTTTGCTAATGCAAATATTAGGTAATATTAGGTATTAGGTAATCCTAATTGAGGCATGTTGGTACACTTCTAAATGTAAATAGTGAAAAAGTTGAGTTGAATTTCATGTAAAGAACATACTTATGAGTAAACGCTATTATAAAGTTGATGATTATTTAAAGGACCACATTGCATGTAATTAATAGCCTTTGCTTTGTTCTATAACGACTGGTTATATATACAAACTATGACCTACAGACTTTGAAAGTTGTGTTTATTATTGTGATAATACATATTATTTTGGTAATGACATGATTTTGTCAGCTAAAAGACGTCCTGAACAAGTGGTAGGAGAAAAAAAATTTTGGACGATTCAAAAGTGCTTGTGACAAGCTTACTTGAATAAAGATATTTTCATTTCCTTTCTTGTTGCTGCGTGTCGACCAATAAGCACGTGTGACTGCTAAAAAACAGAAGACTCCGGACCGACATGTCTTTATTAAAAGCATCGCAATTCCTGATATAAAAAAATCGTCATCAAAATTATTAATTTAAATAACAGTTCGACAGCCCATTTTCTCCCAAAAGTTCGTCAATAATATAGATTTTTTTTTACCAAATTCAATAAGTTTGGCTTCTTAAGTGTAGGTTCAAAATCAATAGCAAAAACCCAAAGTTTTATTCTACTTTTTTAAATTATCTTTGACGACGGAGTGGTAAGGGAACGCCCCTTCCAGGACAATGATCGATGGCTCATGCAGGTTCGGGATAAGCTTCTCCGTGATCCACTTGGTGAAATTGTGGGCATCCATCTCGGAATGGTAGTATTCAAGCTTGTTTTGTCCACTAACCACTAACGAGCCACGCTTCGGCATCAATGGGCCGGCTCGACCGGAGTGATACCATGGCCTCACAGAAAACCGACCTGAAGCAACGCTTGTGTTGTGTTTTGTCGTGTGAGTGAGGGTACCGGAGGCCCAACCCCTCCCTATTCCCTTCCCTCCACCCCTCAACTCTTCCCTTCAAGGCCGGCAGCGCGCTTGTAGCCCCTCTGGTGTTGCAGGTGTCCATGGGCAACGGTAATCACTTACCATCAGGTGATCCGTCTGATCGTCTGCCCCTTATCCCATAAAAACAAAATTGGAACATTACTCGATATACTATTTAAGGTAATTTTACATAAATAGCTGTTTTTCAATTGAAAAACTTTATAAAATATGATTATCTCTAAAAGTATACTGTTTTATTATAAAAAGATACGTTGCCATTTTTTTAACCAGAGCTGATACAGAAATAGTCACATGCTATTTAAGGCTATTTTTAATGGTGGCAAATCTAAAACCCCTGGGAAACATAGATCAGATCATCCTAAGAAAGAAATGGATAACTCCAACATTTGTGTACTTCGACGTACGTGGTTGTGGGATATCACTTATCGATATCGAATTACACGAAAAGCCTTTACGTATCTAAAATAAATAATTGTCAACACCACAGATATCTTCACAGATTTTACAAACTAAACAATACATCGAAATGTAACAAATGGCGGTCTTATCGCTGAAAGCGATTTCTGCAAGACAACCATTGGATGGATAGGATGGATTAAATATATTGTAATAAAAAGATTTACAGGATGACGTACGATAGTAGCCGCTGTAGTTAAAAAAAAAATAATTAAATTATTATCGCCCTATTACAAACGGACAAATAGCTTGATATCTCTCTCGACTCGCTTTTCAGCTGGGAGGCTCTGTCCTGTTATATAATACTAAGTCCATGGTTCGGACATGTCATCTAAGTCGGAGCCATAAAGAAGTTTGAGGACAACCTTGGTCTTTTGATACTTAAAATTATTGTAAAAATAACGTCGCATTATATGCATACTTGAAAATTAAAATCAATTTATTAAATATGATGAACAAAATTAATGATAGTAAACGATCACTTAAAAGAAATAGTATCGATATTTTTTAGTTAATATCGATTATTACTACCTAAGCCCAAGCCTATGGCGTCGGTCTTCCGTTCGTTTGTGCTCTTTCCTTTTAGGTGGTCTTTTTGTGATCTGATTCGTAGGGCGTGCGTAGAATCAAATTAATTTCTCGATTTAGTTAATATTGGCTCTTTTCTTTTTGAGTAGATTTGCAGCTTATAACACGATATATTTCTTCGTTCGGTTGTAACATATTATTTTATTGTAAACAAGAAACTCGATAATAGAACTAATTGAAAATGGATGGACCTCCTAGCCGGGGCTTCCGCGGCGGAGGACGTGGCGGACCCCCAGGGCCAAATATGCGGGGCAGAGGTGGATTTGATATGCGTGGAAGGTAATATCATTAAATTTATTTTGAGTTTAGTTACAGATATTCGCACATTTTTTACGATTTAGGTTATAAGCTGTATGTTCGTGTTTTATCTGTATTCAAAAATCATTTAAATAATACTTCACAAAATTTACGTTAACTGCACAGAGGTGGCGGCCCTGGCATGAGGGGACGTGGTGGACCCATGAGAGGAGGACCTGGTGGACCACGAGGTTTTCGTGGTGGACCTATGCGTGGTGGTGGTGACCGGGGAGGACGTAGCTTCCCACCAGGACCGCAGGGTCCAGGGCCCCATCCAGTTCCAACTATTGAGTCCAGAGGTGCACCACCCCAAAGTAAGTAACAACTAAACTAAATCCAATTCTTATCCTTTGATGGTCACAATTGAAGTCAGTCTTATAAAAAATTTGTCAAAGAATATGTGTCATAAATATCCCTACTGCAATGTGGATGTTAAAATATTATTTGCAATGATTTTCAAGTGAAGTAGTCTCCTAGTACTAGCCACTGCCTAATATTGGCTGTTTAAAAAAATGGAACAACTATTTTTACGCAAAAAGTAACTATATCCTTATGAATAACCTCCCATATCTAGGTGTGGATACCCTTACGTTTGAATTTTCAGTGATAATAAAGTGTGGGCAGGTACAAACATACATCATTTGGTAGCATTACCTAGTCAAATCTGTGAGTCGATTTGACTAGTTAATGCTACCAAATGTAATGCTAACATTATATTGTTGCAGTGTGTTGAAGAAAAAGTTTTAAAATCTAATATTTTTTCTTCTTGTTGTTTTATTTGCCTAACTTCTTTGAAACAGTATGTCGATATTAGGGTGGTGGTAGAGGTTGATATTGGGGAAAATATATTTACTCAGAAACAAACATTGATATCCTCAAAACTAACAAGGGATTCTTAATTTTGTGAATGTAATAAATAATGGAATGTCGTTATCTCTACTCAAAAAAATTTGATATGGCTAACAATTGGTGCCTCTACTTGTAATGTTTTCAGTTTTCAACATTTGCAGAGCATATTTTTTTCTTCTTATTTCTTTCTGATCTCCTTATCATAAATCTTAACTTATTATTAGGAGGGTTCAATAACAGAGGTGGGCCAGGTGGAATGAGAGGACGTGGTGGAAGAGGGCGTGGGGATTTTGGACCTCGTGGTGATCGAGGCGGAGGGCGGGGTGGAATGCCCATGAGAGGTAAGTTTTATTATTGCTTTCAAAGTCTTGGTAATATAATATACCTCCATAGGAAGCATGCACAATGTTCAGTCAGCGTAGGTTACCAAAATAATTTTACTTCCTTTTTAATTTATCTAAACTGTAATACAGAAATTATATGACTTCTTAAATAGTGAGCTTTTTAAGTGCATACTTATACATATTAACTTACTAATTAGATGAATTAAAGTGACATCTGGTTTGAATAATGTTTATATAAAGTACAGCTTGCAAAAAGTTGTCATTTTCAACTTAATGTTTTATGAAAAAAGCTAGGAATTAATTTTATTTCAACATTTAGATGCTATGGTCAGATAATAAAATATTTACTGGTTTTTTATTTAGGTCGTGGAGGACGCGGAGGTCCTGGAGGTATGCAAGGCGGCAGCAGTGGACCAGTCGGAGCCCCCGTCGGTGGTCCCAACATGGTTCCACGGTCTGCACCCGCGCCACACCCCGGCCCCGGCCCCGCCCAACAACAAGGCCCGCCATTTAAAAGAGGAGGAGGACCACCACACGGAGGTCCTGGTGGTCCACCCAAACGGGGAAGGTATGCTTTCATTTTCAATTTATTTTTTATTCTTCTGGATAAAAAGTTTTCATTGTATGCAGTGTTAAAAATTAAAATCTCACTTTAACATATTTGGATATTCCATTTAATTGTGACTTAACATATAATTAAGAAGACAATAAAACCATTTTGTGTTTATAAGACTATAGTTTTAAAGACTCATTTGGACATTTTTAAATATATTTCTGGTTTACAGGTTTGAGGGACCACGGGGAGGAGGTGGTGGCCGACCACCACCATCAGGTGGTTACCAACAGTCTACACAATCCCACAATGCACCTCCGTCCAATGGTTATGGACCACCATCGTATGTCTATTTTTAATGATTTTTTTTGTTTTATGTACATGCATTTACCTTAGTATATAAAATTTTTATAATTGATTTTAAACTCTACTTGTAAAGCAGTAAGTTTTAAGGTCAAGTGAAAAAATATTTTGAAATGACACTGAGGAATAAAAAAGTGTATGTTCCATATATCAAACTTTAGGAACTTTTTTAAATGGTTTCCTTTATGTTGTATTTTCACACATATACCAAAAACTGAATTCTGATTATTATGATTGAGATACTAAAAATTACTAAATGATGATCCTGAAACACGATAGGAATGTGCCGTCTGATACATATATGACGATACTCAAAATCTGATATAGTTTATTAATAATTTTGTTTCCAACAAGAAAGAAAATAACTTTAACAGTAAACTTATTTTTCAGTCACACTGGCTATCAACCTTACGAGGCACCAGCTCAAGATCCTTATGCCCAGCAGTCATATAACGCACCCAGGTATAGTCTTGAACATTGCTTCACCTTAAATGTAATATTTATAATATGATGAATACACTGACATAGATAGGAATTGCCGTCTGATACACATATGCAGATAGTGTAGATACTGAACAAATTGCCATTTTTAATATGAATCTTAGTGAATATTCGCCAATTTACATTTGAATCTGTGTCTTCAGCTCTTACCAAGGTAATAACTATTCGACGCCAACTCCATCGCAACCGTCTGGTTACAATTCCAGTGGGTACGGCTCTGGTGGCTACGGATACTCTACTGGTGGCCAAAGTGGTTACGAAAATGATGGCTATGGGTAAGTAATTTTCAATTTTGTTTCAAAAATCGTAACATTTATAAAACAATGTTAGAATTTAGGAGAAAATTTCATGAAAATTAATTTAACAGGTGATGTCTTATTAACAATAACACTATCTCTAGGGTCTTTAAAACAATAACTCAAAATTTTAAGAGCTAGATTACTGCTACAAGGGTCCAGGAAATATTAGAATAAGTCAAATTTTTCTGGAACCAAACAAGTTTTCAACAGGCATTCAGATTTCTTACTAATTTACTTAATGTTCCCTGATTTATATGTATGAGTGAGTACTACACAGCTCCAAGGCAACATGAGTATGTTGCTTGTAAAATTCTAGGCCCATTTAGTTATGTTTGGTGAAATGTTATGTTAAACACAACATTAATCTTCAACGAACGCGCCGAAGGAGGCGACAGAAAGACATTTTAAATTTATTTGTAAAAAAACATGAACCTACTGCACACAGGCACGCAGCGACACTAGAATTTTTACGTTAGAATTTTAGAACGACTCTTAGTTCAGAGATTTACAATATTGAAAAATGAAACAAGTGGACCGCGAATCCCAAGGGCGGTATTATCCAAATTAGATGCATCATCATAAAACCACAACCACCATGTTAAGAGTAAACAAATAACTAATAAATTCGTTTTTTCTTTCTCATTTCTAATTGATCTGCAGTTCTACATAAGGTTGCCAACTTTGTTTCCTTTTTGGGTACAATAAGTACTTATTATAATATGCATAACTGGTGCTTTACAATATTGAGTAAGAAAAGAATATTTGAGCATCCCTTATTATAGAGTACGCCTAGAGTACAGTTGGGAACCTGTCCTCAAAATTAGAGTACATATTTATTGTATTATTTAGCGGAGGCACTGGCGGTGCCGGCGATGCCGGCTACGGAGCTGGCGAGCCAGCTTACGGGGGCGCAGCTCCCGCCTACGACTCATACTCTCAACCTTCGTACAACTCTTATCAGCAGTCACAACCGCAATACGGCAACAACTATGGTAAGTATTGAAAATATTAAAGATAATTTAAAATCTTCAATTGGTGCACCTAATTATTAGAGACATGTTTATCATATTGTGATTTTGTGTTTTAAATACAGTACTATTAGGTTTAATATGTCATAGGAGAAATTATGTTATTCAGAAACATGGTTAATAAGGAACCTTTTAAAAATGAATACGTTCCAATATGAAGTAATGTAGACACTACTTAAACTGAGCTATTTAGTTTTAAACTAATCTCGGTTAGTCTGAAATAGACATAATACATACGATAAAATAGACTATCATGAATAGATCTGTGGCCATTATCGATAGGTATTAGGTGCGTATCAATTACCAAATGTGTCATTCAACCTTCAAATGAATAATAATAATAAATTAATATATAAAAGAAAGGATAACACATGAATGAGCCCATGCAATGATTACATTTATCAATATTAATAGTACATGAATGATTAGCGTACTATAGTGCACTACTGATATTTTTGTAATACGTATAACTGGCGACATTAACGGCGATAAATAAAGACATATATGGCTATAAATATGTAAGGTTATATGTTCAAACAGTCTATTGGTACATAATGAATTACTTTATAGATTGGCTAGTGAATAGTAATACAGAAGAATTATGCCCAAATATCTGGCAAAATTATTAATTCCGTATTATGGAAGTGTAATTAAGTATATTTATACCATATTTAAAATCAAACTGGTTACTAGAACATGAATCAAAATAATTTGATTTCATAAGTTGGACAGGTAATTTTCAGCTCATTTGTACAAACACTTTGCCAATAAGAAGCTTCTAGATTATTCTCATCTTCATTATTCGATCTTTAAACGCAAGAAGATTGTTTATATAAACATCCACTAAAATATAGTTTACCATCTTATTGGGCACTGTTCTTTATGGCAAAAAAAGTTATTGAAGATAAAGATTCATTGAGGTTTTTTAAAATGTATATTTTCAAACATTTAAAATATTCTATAAGTAACAAGAGATTTCTTTTTGTAACAGTATTATTAATGAAATTAAGCATCTATATAATTGTTTGTATTACAGGCAGTTGGTGATCTGTTTGACTATAACAGAATATGATTTTCAACTTATACCACACACTCGAAATATAATAGCTGGATCAAATTTATTGAAGCATAATGGGTATATAATATTTGTGATAATGCAATGTTAGGTACAGTTAAGAGGTACATATGCAGTATTTGATATTTTTTAAGAATATGACAGATTATTGACAAAATTACATAATGTATTTCTTTGGACTACGTAATGTTAATATAGAAGGAATATTGGATTTTAGGAAAAGAAAATGTATCAAGTACATAACAAATTCTTTTAAAGGTCAGTAACTAGCAATTTACCTATATAAAAAAGTGTAATCTACTATTCTGTAGATGAACATAATGAAATGATTTTAATGGTATGATAGGTAGGTACCATATTGTTCTGTTTAGATAATAAGCACCAAATAAAATTGTGAAAGAATTGTGTATATTTATTTGAAAGAAATTACTTTCTTATTGCATTCTTATAAGACATAAAAATAAATTATATCTAAAAACTTTGGTATATTTTTCTCTTTCATATATTATAAATCCAGTGTCTACAATCTTTAATAAGATAATGGCTAGTGGCAAGATTTACCATAACCACAAATGTGTTCTTGTACCATGTTTCCATTAGGTAATATCGTTAAAGAAACATTGTTCAGTTTTGGGAATAATACATAGGTACTATAAAATTTACTGAATCTACTCCTTTACCTAAATTTACTGAACTATGTCGAGTGTGGCTTAATAAAATATTAGTATATATGTATATCTAGAAAATATGTGATGATTACGTACAGTCCTCAATAAGGAATAATTAATACACTAAGACAAAATAATCAAATATGTTTTGAGAGATAACTATGTACCTATTTGTCCATACTGGCCAGTAAAGTAAGGGAGAGGTCTTACCTCGTTATTTTCAGATTAAAGAATGGAGATTTAAATATACCTATTAATAAATTGAATGAAATTGAACATATAAAACAGGTAATTAAGATACGCAACTGACGCACCTGAAACAATTGCCATGCGCCTATGTTTCGCAACCCATTTGAAGATTTATTGTAATATACGTTAAACAGTACCAGGTAACGAAATTTTTCTTACATAACATTATTATAAGTTGAAGAGTATCCTTGTCGATCATTATAAATGCACTTACAATTATTCAAGTAGAAAGAGTATAAATAAGATATATTTATTGTGGGATCTCCAGCCATATCTGGTATTAGAATTTAAACGATACAATAGTTTTAGGGCCTTATCTCGAAAAAATATACCCACAATTGGGGGTTGGTTTCACTGCGTTGTTATCGGTTATAAACATAAGAAAACCTTTTAATATCTGTTCAATGTCTGTGATCTATCAATCAGTTCTATGCAAAGAGTAAACCACATTCAACGTACAGCTTCACAGGACAGTGAGTAAACATTGGAATCGAATGGGTTATTTAAGTTTTTTTATTATTAAATTATTTATCTGCGAAAATTTTACTGAATAATACGAGCCAATTGCCAGTTCTCATTATTTAATGGTAGTGTAGTATATTGTACTCGAATTGATAAAGAAATTAGCTCATCATATTAGTAAATAATGCATTTTTGTTGTAAGAACAGATTTCTTATATTTTCTATCCATAAAAGGGTCCGAAACGTTAATAAAACTAGATAGATACAAACGCGATGAAACCTTTTAAAATTTTCATCGCGTTTATTACTGCCTAAAATATATTTGAGCACCGCAAAAACTTTTTTTTACGACGTAATTAAGATTGACTTGGCGTGCAGATCCCAAATTTTGGGTATATTTACGTGGGATACCCGACACATTGCATTACTTTTGATGAAGTGATTGCACAGAATATTATTTAGTTTGGTAAGTAGATACTAATACTTAAAAAAATCTAATAATAAATGAAAACAGTGGAAAATAAAACTTGTATCACAGATATGATACTATAAAGTCCCTACATGAAAACTATGAGGACTAGGTTTTTAGGAAAACCAGACTTTTTCAATATCACTTATTCAGAAGTATTGAAATATGGTACAATATTTTTAATGATTCCGAATATCTTATTAATTGCCCCCAGAATCTAAACTTGTGATTTGAGATTAGTGGGAAATTATTGACACCGGCGTGCAAATTCATTATATTTTTAGTAAACCTGACTTTAATGGTCTAAGTTAATCTCATGCATAGTAGAACAAAAATAATGATAATTTTATATTATGATAATTTTATATTACGATAAATAGACTCTTAGGGGAAATCAACTTAAAACTAATTCAGAGATAACAATACCCTTAATACAGAAAACACGTTGAGAATGATGGTTGGACTCTATGTTTAAAAAATATATATCACAGGTTATGGTACAATTCCAAAACGATTCAGATTTTTTTTATTCTTAATTTGTTGGTGGTTTTTATCCACATGGATATATATGTCAACCCCATTCAAATCGGGTTGAATATGGTTTATATTTACAAACTCAATATAAAATGTAACAGGAATTTATATAGAACAGATGTTCCACAAGGCTCAATCCGTGATCCTTTCTTTTTTTTTAATATACATATAACATGATATTCCCCATTTCATAAGGGCCACTAAGCTAAATTAAACCAGAGCACCTCTAAATAGCGATGTGAATGATTCTGTCTTTAAATACATTAGTGCAATAATGGAAAATCTAAATGTTTAAAGTTTATATTGCTTAATGTTAGCAGACATATTTGTGTGAGTGTAAATAATAAAGTCAACCTTGTGTATAATGTATAATAGTATTATAAGGCAGCGCATTAGATGCTAATAATATAAGGGCTTTCTTGCAACTAAATCAATTCTGATAGCGCACATTTGCCTTTCTAAAAATCCCCTATACATATACCCGCGGTACTTCAGGGGTTCATGGACCGCAAGTTGGAAAGAAAAAGATTTTTTGTTTTTAGTAAATGTTTAAATGTTATATATAATGCAGTCAGACAGCACGTTAGATTATGGAATTAAATTGTCAATACATAAATAAGTACAGTTCAAAATCGACTGAAAAAACATTGCAGTAACATGACGTGCTGCTGCTATGTATTTTAAAAAAAATCGTAATGGCTCAGTACATGTAGAAAATTACTCATCAAATTAATATTGACTATTAACATTAAAAAGAGACTATTCCAAATGTACCTATTATATTATTTAGAAATCCTACATAAGGTGATTTATTTTGTTATACCTCTGAGAATGCTCTAACTTGAGTTACACCAATCTAACGGTCAGTTGCACAAACGTCCATTAAGGTTTAATGACACCTTTAAGATCTAATGAATGTCAAAGTTGTATGGGTAATGTCCCTTTAAACTAATGAAAATTTTAATGGACGTTTGTGCAACTAGCTGTATGAATGGTTATTGAATATTTTCGTTTATTATTACAACTTAGGGTTATTAGATGAAACAAATAATTTAAGTGACATTGTTAAAAGTCTGCTGAGCCTTAAGTCTAAAATGGTTTTGTTCATTTGAAAAAGTCTGGGTTTTCATATGACTATATTTGATATTCGAATACCACACAGTCATAGAAATGTATTGAATAAGGTACTCATTCACGATTCCGTATTGATCTATTCTGTTATACTGGGCCATTCTGAATACGAGTTTATATTTCACGTCTCTTATGAAGTTCTTATGGACTTGGGCACAGTGTTTAACACTAGCAAGCACATTTAAAAAACTTACTCATTACCCTATTCATATAGTGCCTTATTCTGGATCTTTTCACGTAGTGGCTTATTCATAATAAAATCAAAATAACAAGCATGAAATGCTGTCATGCTCCGAAGTAATATTAATTTATAAGATAAGAAAAAGATGAATACCGGTAACTTCTACAATGATAGATTTGTAGATGTCGATTTCAAAGAAAGCTTTTTCTAATTAATGCTTAGTCATTTAATCATCTCGATTATATTCGCCTAGCTGAATAATACTGAATATATAGAAATTATCGATTCCTTTAACAGAAATGACGTTATTCCACCAGGATAGACATTTTGTTTATAACAGTACATGTATAAAAGCAATTAAATATTGGAACGTTAAAATAGAAAATCATCTATCAAAAATAAGTAAAACCGAAAATTTATACATATGTATAAGATATAATCGATAAAATGTAACGGAATCCCAATATCTGACCTAGAAAAAATACTAAGTAGCTCTCACTGATATGGGGTTCCGGCATTGCAAGTCTTAATGGGCTTTAATGAAGTTAGTGCACAAGTACATATTCAAAATACATCTAATAGTTGGAACACTAGATATAAAATGTACTATTACAAAAATGTAGTTTCACATCTGCAAAGTGATACTATGATTGTTAACTTGATGTTTAATTTACAGAATATGGATAAAATGACGTGATGAAGTTAAGATGTCATTGAATATCCATGTCAGTAATATTGAGTCACTCATTCAATGCACAATTCCAAGAGAAGAAAGACTAAAGCAGTCGGGTAAGTAATTCTCCTTTATTCTGTTAAATCTAAGTTGTAGTTTAGATGAAAACAAAAAGGGATGATACTGTTGTAATGAAACTCAGTTTAGATCACGACTGAATGTTTATTCATACACTCACATAACAAACCTTTAAATGTACTCTCAAATTAATCACAGATACGACACATGTATGCTTGCATCGCCCAATTAATTCTTAAACGCTGCTTTACGCAAGAGAAGGCCATAAAATTGAACGATTGTTTAAGCTAGTATGGTGATATGAGCGAGTTTGGAAGTCATATAGTTTAGTTATTACCTTCTCATATAGTTTAGTTATTATTATACATGGTCTTCTCTCTTCTACATCCTCTCGTTTGCATATACATAGCATTTTAACTATATTTTGGCTGTTTAATTGGAGGTCAGTAACTGACTATGAAATCAAGGCAAATCAGTGGTGATCTGATAAGCGATATTAAACCGTAAAGACGTCACCATTACTATTAAATCATGACGGACCCCGTGTAAATCTAAAAAATACAAACAATCAGAACCTATTTTGTAGTGTTCTGTTGCGGTGTGCAAATGCCGTGCCTGTTTTCTTTTTGTTTCATCTAAGAGTCTTACTTAAATTCGCAAATAATAATTTTCCTACTTTGGCAGAAATTTTGAATAGCTGCCTCTAATGAAATTATATAAACGGATCCTATCTGAGAGTACCAGGGACTAAGTTGATTTTTTAAGCATTTTTCATCTATAATATATTCCAATATAATAAATAGATAACCATTTTCATTTATTTTCAGTAGTTCAATGATAAATTTTGTATCATACGTAGTGGTAGTGGTCAAATAGGTGCAGTCTAATACTACAATTTTGTATAAAGTAAATCATCTTAAATGTATGAATGTCTGAATTTCTTGATCGGTTATATAAATCATTCAGTAGTATATCATATAAATCATCTTTTACTGAAATCCACCTTTTTTGGTATATTATGATAATAT